GCAGGAATGTGGGTGTTGTGGTGTACAACAAGCACAGCTTATTGCAGTAAATGGAAGGATTTGGGTTCTATCAGGTGGCTGGCAAAGCAGCGTATAAACTGTGTGTACAGACAAATAGGCTTCCCTGGCTGAAGTTGCACTGCATCCAGCGCAGAGCGGTGCTGTAGGAGTAACGTGTCGGGCAGGTAGGAGAAATCATCGCAGCTATGGATCTGTGAAAGAAGTGGGGAAAAATTGACAAGTTATTTTCATATTTTTCAGAGGCTCTACTTAGCTCTAAATCAGAGCCTATTCACCTCCAAAACAAGACAGTTTTAAAAGAAAAAGAGACCATTTCTGTATCAACTTGACAGCAGCATGTCTTGGTTTAACCCTCCGCTATAGCGAAGAAGGAAGATGGCCTGTGTCTAATGGGACCTGTTGGTTTCTGAGGAAGCCTTTCCTAACGTTGTTGTAGATTTTCATGTCACTTGCTGAGAAGTCGGAGTCTCCAAAGTGAGAATTAGTTTTGCAGGCATTAATTTTTATTTAAAACGTCTTCTAATGGCTTGAAAATGTATTAATGTAGCTGGTGTGTAAAAGTTCAATTTATTGTGCATACACAATAATTACTTCCCGTGGTAGTTGTTGTAAAATGAATTAATTCTTCATAAGATACTGTTTTCATGGAAACATTCTTTTGTCTAGAAGTAAAACCATTGGAAGCACAATGTAATTACTGAATTACCATTTTAGAAAGAGACAAACTTTCCTGCTCGCTTCCATCAGAAAACATAAAAATACCACTGCATAACTTAGACCTGACATCTTGCACGTGTCTTTCTGAGGTTGCCCTGGGCCTCAAAATTTGAGAAATACTTTGGATTACAAAGTCACGTAGAAACACGTACAGATTTTCATTTACCAACATTGTGAGCGCAGCTCTGCTCGGAAGCTTGGATGGGTGGTGGGAAGCAAGAAAGGCCATGCAGTTTGAAAGTTCTCTATGTGGCAACTTGGTTTTGTTTGCAAAATTAGGTAGCTGCAACCTCAGTTGCACCATTTGTGCTGCTTAAGTGAGGATTCTTTTATGCCTAGAGCTGCAGATCACAAGAAGGTCACTCCAGTGCTTAGCCTACACTATGGTGATATGGTAGTGCGTTTCATAAAATGTACTTTAAAACCACAATGTTTGTCCTTTTATCTTTTCACTAAATTTTAGGTATTTTCCATTTGTCATGAAACATTGGCATGAAATTTTCAAGATATGTCCTAGTATGAAATGGGAAAAATTGAAAAACACCTTGTAAATCCTGGACTGAAATACAGGGTGTCCCACTAAACAGCATGTTTGTGTTTAATTCTTCTGTCACTGTGTGTGTGTTGTCCCTGTGTATTTGCAGTTACGTTATTTTATTATAACTTCTTTGGTAGCCTGGAATTTTAATGGTACCTTAACAAAGTCTTGCCTATGTCTCGGTTGTTCATGATGCAAGATAATCAAGGTAGTCCTTTTCCTAGGTTTATTCAGACATTATGGTGAGTTTCTATGAGGAACGGAGCAAATAAAATAGGAACAAATGGGCCTAAGAGCTGATGTTCCTGTGTTGTGGCTGCAGAGTATCTATTACATTTTTCTCTGGCATAACGCCCTAGGTAATTCCTTAGAGATTGTTAGACAACAATGGCTTGTCATTAATTCAAAACTTCATAGTTAAAAATGAAGCTGTAACAACAATGTAGTTTGCTTGATTGAACCGATTGTTACAACAAGGCAGCGTGTCCAAAGGAAAAGACACATTTTGAATTTCTCGATCATTTTAGATTCTGGAGTGATGACACAGCTCCAGTCATGCTTTGTTTTTGAGAGCTGAAGGGTGCTGGTATGAAATTGCGACTGTTTTTTAGAATCAAGTCATAAACCTGTTGGCCACTCGTGATGTTCATTCAGCCTTTAGTGTCACAAATGCTGTTTCCAGTTGGTGCCCAGTAGAGGGCAACAAACACTGGTTTATTTTTGTGTAACATCCTTTCCTGGCTGCTTCATAAAGCAAAGGGATACAGCAGTTCTTGTCTAAGCTCCTCAGAACTGATTTGCTGAGCACAGTAGATCTTACGTCAAGCTGCTGTATTACAGATCTTGTGATGTGAAATCAGGTAACAGTGCTCAGTCATTCGAGCTTTTATCGTTTGTCATTAGAAATCTGTCAGCGTTTCAGCTTTTCGTGCACAGTATTTGAGGTTGAATAAGTTTTAAATATTTATATACTATTACTTTCTTTTTATAGCTTGGATGAATTTCACCATGAAGCTTTGGTGCAAGATAAAAATGAACAGGCTGTATCAGACCGCTTACAGTTCTGCACAGGTACGTTGCAAATATTTGTTGCATTAACGCTAGGAGATTTAAGCCTACTTCTCTTCAGGTCCAAAACAGGCAACAAGGATGTCCTTATACCCTTGTTTATCAGGGTAGCTCTTCTCTACATCTTACCGCATCAACCTCTGGGGAGCCACTGCAGCAACGTATTGTTAAGGTAATTCTGCGCAGTCTCGTCCCTGTTGTGTTCTAAAGGATGGCTTTGTAGACAGCGTTGGGCTGTTTCCCAGTATGGGGAGTAGATTATCCATGTTCCTTTATACAGGTTTGAAGTTAGTTTTGTACCTCAGAAGCACTTAGTAGCATAAGACCTCACATTTTCTGTTGGCAGTTTTCTTGCTGTAGTGATCTGCATGTAATAAAATTGTCCCTCTCCAGGAAGGTGGCCCCAGAGCTATGTGAGTACCTAATTAAAAAGACAAATTCAAGATGTGGGAGCAAATGGATGAAACATATAAGCCAGTAATAAGAATGACGTTTGGTTTAGGGATTCTCCTAAGTTGATGTTGTTAATTTTTTCTTTCTTTCTCTGCAATTGAAAAATAAGCTCATGTTCCATGCAGTTAATTTGATGATATCTATTTTGGATGAAGGAATAAGTCTAATTTGTCAGCTGTCATTATGTGCAGCTTGCTCTGTATTTTGTTTTGTGCACATATTTTGACATGTTTTCCTCTCTTTCAAACCTGGCTGAATGTACTCAGAGTCCTGGAATTTTATCTAGAAGTTCATCTACTACTAGCATCTGGCCTGACGTTAACATCTGCCAATTTATTTCTGTGTATAGCAGTATAATGTGTAATGTTGTCCATCCTTTTATTCTTGCAAGGCAGTAGTTCACCTTAATTTAGTAATGACCCCACTAGGTTTTCTGTGTGGCCTGGTGATGATGATCTACTCCATTGTGCTGCTTTAAAACAACAGAAGTTACAGTGGCATTTCCCAGATGTTCAGTATATTAAGAAAGAGACTGAAACGATGAGGAAACTTTCAAGGAGGAAAAAAACCATTTCAACTGTAGTAAAGAAATCTTGTGTTAGATACTTAGATACTTTTATTTATATATTTTATATCTAAAAGATATTCAGATACCTTTATTCTTAAATTAAAATATCATTTACACTGATATTTCGCTGCGTGTGGAAACCCTGTTTAACTTCAGTTGGCTGATATTTTGAGTGCAGTCCAAAATAAATGAATCTGTCTCTCATCTAATGTAAGTATGCAATAATTATACGAATATGCTAGTAAAGGCAGCTACTGAACATATGCACTTATTTTCTCACATAATGTCAGTCCTCCAGGCAATATTATTGCTCATATCTAAAATACAAATTGTTTAGCTGATGATAGTTTTCTCTAACAGCGTGTTTATATTTTGCTTAACAAGCCTGCTAATTACGGTGTCTGGATTAAAGTGAACACTTTTCAGTGCTGTAGGATAAGTAAGTGATACACAGAATACTGAAAAAAGAATTAAATATCATGTAATTAATTTTCCATTTACTGAGATGCAGGTCATAGGTACTATATAAAATTGAAGAGTGTTACTCTAAACTTGGTAGTGGTGTTACCATGGTCCAAGGTGGAGCTTTCTTTGGTAATCCCAGCAAGGGAAACTGCCCCCAGCTGCCTTTAGAAGCCGTTTATGGGAAGATGAGTTTCCCACCCTCCTCCTTCTATAGCTGCCTCGTAGCAGCCTGCCTCAAAGTGATGCTTTGTGAATAGTCATTGGGTAGATGTACAAAAAGAGCCCATAGAGAGATCCAAAACAAAGCGTTAAAGTGTATTTTTTAAATATTGAAATATCCTTGGGAGTGGGGGCAGTATTGGGATAAAGTTCACTCATTGGAATTTCATTTACTGCAGGTACTGTTTGTTGCAGGTGGTACAGAGGAGGAGTAAAAGGTTGCGGTCTGTGCTGTAAGAGAACATTTAAGTGTAACTGTAAAGCAGAAATGCACTAATTCAGACTTACTAACAACAAAAGAAAACCTCATAGCAACAGTGTAGGCTGACTAGGCTAGATTAACTTGTAATTTTAACAAGAAAAGCCATCGGCTGTGTACTGCAATTACACAGTAGATTTTTAAAAAAAATCCTTCTGCTAACTGAACTCAAAATGGGGTTCATCTCAGTTGCTTTATGGGGGAAATCATGTGTTCACGTGTTCACCATAGCCATATTTATATTTTTGACTGGTTTGAAGAGGAAAGCGGTCTTCACTGCCAAAAGACCCTGTCTAGCTGGAGGAGTCCAAACATTTGCTTTGCGTTCCTTCTAAAGTGCGGTCAGATTGTTAAAGATTTCAGCATCTTACTGTTTAAATAACCAGCGGTGGCTGTTTCTACCGTGCTGTCCTAATCACACATCTGTTTATGCTGAGTTAATGAGGGTACAAGTAGGACACACGAATTACAGCGCCAGTAATACATTGAGGGAGAAAAGTAAAGTAACGATTGCAGTTTTGGAAAGAGAAAGGGTTTTATTTAATCCCACTACTTATATTCTGAAACTTTTTGTACTTTATTTGCCTAATGTGTAGTATTAAGTCTTCGTGCTTTTTGAGAATACTGTAATTGCCCAAGTGAAATGGTGAGACAAAATGTTCCTTCATGTAGCAGCTTTCATGTGCCCCTTGACTTTATATGATCAATTCCAATTCTGAGAGAAAAATACTGCAGGCTCCTTTGTGCACACTTTCCATTTCAATATTAGTGTTGATTTACTTTAAATTCACTGTCCCTTGTCTAATTCAATGCAGCAAGACTCTTTATTTCTCTTGTTGGGTGTTCTTGCCTATGTTGTATCACGTTAGTCTTGTGTACGTTCTGATTCCTTCCTTTTTGAACATCGTCATACTCCATCATGACACTAAAAAGAAGCAAAGTAAGGAAACGTGTTCATAGAGAAATGTCAGGGTGGATAATATACCCAGCTCAGAAGGCTGCTTGATGAGAACTTGTTTCGCAGGAGATGGAGGAGATACAAGGCTATACTGGGAATATTTTGAAATTAGCTTTCTGTTAAGGCAGAGTTTAACACTTACCTTCAAAACTGGAAGTGATGGTTAATAATTCTCAAGCTACGCGTAATAGGAAAGAAGCATGGAGCTATCATGGACTATATAGCAAGGATTTTTAAGTGTAGCATAGTCCTCAGTGTAAACGTACAGTATTGTGCAAGAGATGGAAAAGTTTACCTTCACTTGTTGTACCCATTTTAAATTTGTTTTTGTGGTTTCTGGCTGTTCATTTCAAAAGCTGTGTGCTCTCCAAGCACCAGCCATGATGCCGCTCTTCGTGTGGTGAATTAAGTCTTTTTACTACAAGCCTAGCTTCTAAGGTTACCAGTTTATCCACATTTCAACCCTGTTTTAAGCCATTGTGTTGTATGTTTTGAACATTCTGCCGCGTCTTCATAATTGAAATGTTCTAATGAAAATATTTCTCATCTAGCAGAGAACTGGCACAGTTCCACGAGCATACAAGTAATTAAATATTTTCTGTGTTTATAATAGACCAAGAAGGAATGAGTGATAGGCCAGAAACTGAAGAGACTGGAAGAACTTGTGATTTCTGGCAGAGTGACCTGTGGGCACAAGTGAAAGACAAGTTAATGAAATACTTGCATCACAGCGCAATTTTCCCAGAAAGCATCCCACATAAATTTGATTATGTGCACAAAAACTCACTTATGCAACAGTACAACCTTCATGCAGCGGTGCACCAGCCAAAAGAAACCAGAACAGATAAAAACACCAAAGAGTTTAAAAACGCTATCGGCCTCGGGCATTATGAGGTGACAATTCTAGGTGAGTATTTGGTAGCTCAGCTTCTACAAGTGGCTCAGCAAGAGTGGTATAAGATCTTGACTCTTCACTTTGTTAACTTAAAAGTGACCTGATGATTCCTCAGAAACTGAGGAGATTTCTCTAATCACTTGATTCTGAGTATTTCTTGAAGTTTAAAAAACACCAAGACTTTAGATTTTTGTTAGTCATGATCTAAGATAATTTTTTACCAGAAAGCTTCAATTCCCATTAAAAATACCTTGAAATGAGACTGAATATCTTCTTTCTAGTATCACTTTTCATATAAATGCAAATTTGCGTATAGGTTTACGTGTATCATTTGAAGAATGTGTGCAGTGCTTAAGCTACTGATGTTCACAGTTAGAGGTGGGTCCTGTTCACCAGTTCAACCAGTCTGTCGTAATCAGAGAAATTACTCCATTGCACTTGATTGTCAGCTGGCTCCTGCTGGAGAGGTATTGATCAGGAAAAACTTAGTGTTCTTAAAGAGGAAAGGACAACTATAAATGCTGCTTTTGAGCTTTATTATCATCGAGTTGTTTTTTGAGTACTCTTGCTCCTGAAGGGCCTTTCATCCATGCTAGAAAATCAAGAGCTGTATTTTAGCCATACCCTTCAACTGCTGCTCTGCTGCTTCTGGTTACTACAAAGTGATGGTTGGTTGAGCTTTGTTTTATAAAATAGAAATATGCAAGTTGATGTGTGTCTGTTTGTTAGCATTGCCGTGGGAAATTGATCTGTTTGGTTTTGTTTTCCCATTAAAAGAAGGAAATAGCCTGGCTTAACAATGCTCGCGTTAAGTTCCCGTAATTTGAAAGAGACTTGCAGAGAAGGTGTTTGAATATTTTAAGTCATTAGTATCCTGGGACTTACTGTGGTGTTCGAGATGAAAGTAGCACGAGCACTGCACCACATTCTGCACAGATACACTGGTCGTAAATTAATGTCTCTGCCCTTGTAGCAGTGATAACGTTAAAAAGTTGTGTGAAATGGCTTCCAATGCTGGTTTAATATTTTGTGAGCTAACGGCATTGTTGGCCTTAAATCATAGTATTGTACAACATCGTATTAATTAGAATGTGCTTATGTGTAAACATATATACATATATAAATGGAAATGTATTTTTAGATGTCATTTGTTAATTAATGAACAAAAAGCAAGTAAATAAAAATCAGTGTTCAGCCTGCAAGAGTTGGTTTTCTCAAGAAAAGAAGAAACGGTGCGTTAAGTTGTTAATGGGCTGAAGATGAAGTTTTCTGCTAACTTAATTGTTTTTTTTCCACAGGTATAAACCACGATGTGGCAATTGATGTTGCATTTCTCCCACTGTTTTGTCCTGAAGTTCCCCATTTATTTCAACTAGAAGACATTCAAAACGATGCATTACTGTCTTCGATGAGTTGTATCACTGCACGCCAGCAAGCAGCCACCAGCAATGAAAGGCCTCACGACAAGTTTCCACTTTCAAGTGAGACTGGCTTTCACTGTCATTACTCATTTATCGTTTCTTGTTTTCTCTTTCAATGCAAGAGTTAATCCTCTGTAGAATCCTCTGGTAGGTCAGACATTGTTCATATCTTCAGTGAAAGATAAGTGAATTCTGTGATCACCTCTAGTAAATATAGTACTGAACCTTCAAGGCAGTTTTTACTGGAGCCGTGCTCATACTCTGAGATAGTATGTTAATATCCAAGCCACAAACTTCTTAGTGGCCTTATTTGCAATTATTTGTTGATGCAAAATTACACTGACATAGAAGTCAGTATGTGTGGCTGAGCACGTGAGTATTTGGCTTGATCAGCTTTGAAATAGAGTGGAGGAACTGTCAGTCAGTCCCTTTCACTGCTGTCACTTTGAACAGCTGCTTCAGTGCAACCTACAGTGCCCATAAGCTGCAGTATTGGCCTGCTATTGAATTGTTTTCTTGCAGATTATGCTTCTAACGCCTGGCACCTCACAGTAAGTGCGGTGAATACTTAATGTGTGTCATACTGCAAAGTGTTGTATAAGTGTTGTGTTTTCCTGCGTGTTTATATAGACCTGATTTTGTTGAAATAATTCTTTACTTTTCCTTGAATAATACTATGAGATCTGAGACTCACTAATGGTTAAGTAATGCACAGATCAACTTTTCCATAAGTGAGTTCTGATGCTGTCGTTTCTAGTGATTGAATTTACTAATAAAATTCTACAGAAAAAAGAAGTCCCAGCAGGCTGGCATTTAATAGTTAGTGAGGTTAATGAAAGAAGGTTGAACATATACACGTTACTGCATGGAAAACAATGTAAATTCAGCACACCTTTTTACTGTCTGCATATTAAAACACCTTTTCTTAAATTCCAGATGACGTTGTAAAAGCAGCGACGGAACTGGACGGCAAACATGTTGTCTGCATCTTGGACATCTGTCATCTGGGTGGCGATAAGGTGGAAGTCTTTCTGAGCAAAATCTACAAGACAGTGGAACCTGGTGTAGTGGATCCGGTGTAATTTAATAACTTATTTTTCAAATTTATATTGGTCAGAAGGAGGGAAATGAAATTGCTGTAACTTGAATCCACCTTCTACACATTGCACTTTCCTAGAACTAGCAGACATGAACATAGAATTACGATTCTTGGAGCAACTGTAATGGTCATCATGTCACTGAGAAGAATGATCATTGCCTTGATTTTCAGCAGTTTTGATACAGGTTTGTCTTGGTTACCTCTGTGCAAGGAGGATGAATAGGCAATACAGTGAGCTTAGCTTTTGGTAGGATACCAAGGAATGTGACTGTCATCTCCTTCTCTGCCTGTGCACATGTTTATATCGGGGTGAGAGCTGAGAAGAGAGGCAGGTTTTCTCAGTATTAAAGGAAGCGTTTGCGAAAGAATTAACTGGCTGTGATATAAAGTTAGGCTGGAAATCAGAATAATTTTTAGGATTAGAGCTGTTATGTTCTATAGCAGTCGTTTAGTGGGAGGTACTGGGGCAGCCTAACTGCCCTTTCGACTTGAAACTCCCTGTGTTTGAAAGGGATTCAATAACCTGGTGCCTTTAGTACTAGAGACTGGTCTCAGTTATCCAAGAAGCCACTTTCAGTTCTTTTTACCTGAGGAAGGTCAACTGCTGTGTTTTTATATGTCTGCTTCTGTATATACAGCGTTGGTCAGTGATTGTAGAACCTAAAGATTTTTAACATTTTATTTATTAATTGAAAAAGAATAATTTTTTTTAAAAAAGAAACTTTGTTAGTGGAACTTGCTTCCAGCTTTGCAAGAGAAAAGCAGTCTTTCAGGAGTGCTTAGCATGGCAGGATACACAGTTCGTCCCACCGTTAGTTTTTCTGCTGTTGATCACCACTGTCCTCTTCTTTGTTAGCAATAGCTGTGTTCTGAGCACATGAAGGAGCTCAGCAGCTGCGAGAAGCTGCTCCTTCCACAAGAGCAAGACACTCTGTAATATCCTGTCAGCTTTTTGCCTGTATACGGACTGGCAGCCAGCTCCTGCTGAGTTCAGAACCAAGTCCCATTTTATCCTCCCACGTCAAACAGCCTCAAATTATTCATACAACTGGATTCTCAGGCAATTATTGTCAAGCAGGAGCTGAAACACAGTGCTGTTTCACAACTCGTCCATGTGAAATCCTGGTCTCAGCTCAGTTCTTTGAGAAGCAATGACTGTGTTATGGAAGCTTGCCCATTCGATTCTGCCATTATTGACCTAAGCCCACGGAGTTGATTTGTAGGACCAATTTATTCTTTTGTGGAAAACTTCTAGGCACGTTTTAACAGCCCGCTGGTAATTGGGGAGTATCTTTTTCAAGTAGCTCACTCGTCTGCCGTGGGGACAGCTGGCTTTATACTTTACTTAAATTCTGTACCCTAGCTTCAGTTAATGGTAATGAAGGAGAAACATTACTGCCTTTATTGTAGTACAAGTTCATAGGCAACTTCAGGTGAAAAGTAAAAGCCTTAACATTCTAAAGAAATTGATAAAATTATTCTGTGTCTCTACTGTGGTTTATAGTTTTAAAATGTGTTAATGAGAAAAGTTTACCTTAAATTGCACAGAGACTAGAAGGTAATGAAATGTGACTGTATTGTATGTTGTTGTTTGTGTGGAACATGTAGTATTAGCTCTAGAGCAATGCTTGTCAACCCGTGCCTTTCAGAGTATGTTGTAACCTTGCCACAGCAGGCAAAATGAACGCGTACCAACCTGAGAGGAGCGCGGCGTTGCTCGCAGGGTGCTGTTTGTGTAACTTTTCCAATGGGTATGTGAAGATGAGAAACCATTGCTCTAGGGGGGGGGAGAAATTAGCACCAGCACTTCGCGTACCAAACTGAGCCATGCTGACTGTGTCAGCCAGTATTTTTTATTTAGATGTACTTCAGGTCGAAGTCTGATTTTAATGAAACCATTATTTGTAGAAGCAATTTTTAAAGTAATTCTCTTTGTACAAAAGGACTGCTGTGGATAAACGCTGTCGCTGCCCAGTTGTTGTAGCCACGCCGTCCGTCCCATGCAATAGAAATGCAGCGAAGGCTGTTTGCCACGTTGCGCTGCTTACTACGCTTTAACCTTGAAGCATTAATCATTTTATCCTCCCTGTTAGGACTTCCTAACTCTAAAATAAATACCAGAAAGGTGTGGAATATGTATGATATGCACTTGAGACTTTAAAGTAATGTGATTTTATTTTACAAAAGTGTTGTTTGAAATTTTTCATGGCAAAAAGTGGGTAAAGGTCCCCTCTGCAGAGAAACTGCTTGCTGTTTTATTTTAACTTGGTGTTTACTAACACAAGTATAAAACCAAACTCTTCTTGTTCCTCTGTCTGTCAAAACATGTTAATTTTGCCATGTTAAACCAAAATACAGAATCTTTACTCCTGCAAAATGTCATAGGAATCATCTTTCTTGCTGCTGCCTATTGCCACTGCTGAGGGTAAAATGCTATCAGAGCACATTTTCTAACTGCAAAATTCATATCCAAAGATCTGTACTCTAAAATCTTACATTCGCATGTTTCTTGTGTTTCCAGCATTAATTTCAAAGAAAAGTAGAGGAAAATAAACTGTATGTAGCTAGTGGTTCTTTCTGAGTGTATAAAACTTGCTAAGTCATAGATCTTAGAGGTAAGATCAGTTCTGTATTAATGTAATGTAGAACTAGTGCAACACTGAAAACTGGAGAACATAAATAAATTAATATATAGAAACGTCTTGGGTCAGTTCTTTCCGTTTCTTTCCATTTTGCATGACTTTTGCAGAAAAACAGGAAAAAGGTCTTGGTGACTTTACAATTCGTCCTTTATTTTTATCATGGGCTACAGAGCACTGACACTGGTAAGGCTTTCATGTTTCTGTTCTAGTGTAAGAAAACAAGAGTCGATAGCAGGACTCTGTGCAGAATACAACACCCGCTGAATTGAGAGACTCTAGAGAACTTACAGCCAGAAATGCAGATTTGTGATGATGATTCAGGCATCTCGGTGTGCATGTTGATGGTGAGCTAGAGTAACGGGCTGAAAGCGGTAACTTGCTTCTGTGAGCAGTTGAGGTGATTCTGCGTCTCTTGCACTGGTATAAATCAATGTTAAAATGAGCTCCTTGTGAACACCAGCACAAGCTGGACCTGGCAGAGTAGACCACTGAGAGAATCCAGAAGAACAAATGTGGGAATGACTTGGTTATCTCAGTCTGTAAGATGGGTAAATTTTTAAGATCTTTTCCTCCCTCCATTTTTGGCCGTTTTAACAAGGTCATTTGCATCACAGATTGCATTGTGATGTGAGAACCCTGGGCTTGCATCACTGAATGAAAGGTGACCTGGTCCTCCGAAGTGACTGTCAGGTTGAAATAGGAGCAGGGGCCTTGAGCGCTCTCTTAGGGAGCGTCATCAGAGCTGGAATTTGTGCAGGAGTGGGAGAGAAGAAGGGGGGAGGAACGGTGCTTTGTGAGAAAGGAGCAGAAAGTGAGGGCCGAAGGTTACTTGCAGGTTCTTTGGTCTGCATCTCTGCTTCACGACAGGTGTCACTTGTGCCAGCCCCCGCTCCGGATCAGCTCACTGACGCCTTGAGGTCATAGTTCCTGCTGGTGTCATAGTGGTGTCAGGTTCCCGGCGGAACTGTAATTTCAACCTCCTGGTCAGGCTGTGGGCTGACAACCACCAGCCGAAAGTACCTGCAGACATCTCCGTCTTGTGCTTCTGTGAATCAGCAATGGAGCGAGGAGATAAGTGCTGGTTTTTCTGCCTCCTGGTGGTTGTTAGCATTTTATTCAAGACTGCAGAGGCGTTTCCTATGAGTGCCTCTGTAAGTTTAGTTTATTTCAACCGCGCTGGCAACAGGTCTGGGTCTGAGCAGTGCGAATGCGGCCTGTACGGGTTAAATTCCCCTCTGCTTAGCACTCGGGGGCTTGTGGGCATTCCTAAATCTGCAGACCTTCAAGCCTGCGATGCAAACACCGAATTCACCGTCACAGAACCACCCTGGATAGCACTGATGGAAAGAGGCAGTTGCACCTTTGCTGAAAAAATTCAGGTGGCAGCCAGAAGGGGTGCAGCAGCCGCTGTCATCTACAACACACCGGACAAAGGCGACACCACTGTCCTGATGTCGCATCTCGGTGAGTAGCACAGCGCGAAGCGCTGCAACCTGATCATTTGTCTGAAGTTTGGTCCAGGACAGCACAGGTGGGCTGTAAGGAAGCACTTGTGTTTTGTAGATGGTTGTTGCTTTAATAAGGAAATTCAACGGAGGGGGGGAAATGTACAATGCTGTTGGAGCCTTGACTTCAGCTTAGTAAGAAATACTCTGCGGTTATGTTCAGAGCGTGGTACTTCAGTGTAGCCAAACTGCTGAGTGTGAAGTTAGTACCATTTTTAACTTGTGCAGCATGCAAACTATTTTAGACAGTGATGTGGAGAAACCCACGGTGTCTGCTTTGAAAGCGCTAGTTCATTTTTTGAGGTTAGAGGACACAAATGAAGCTACGAGTGTCTGCAGCATGGGTCCAGGCTTTGCAGGTTGCAAGCCAGGTCTTGCTCTAATCCTTTCTGAGTAGTGGTTGATCTCAGTGGTCTCTTCTGGGATTCCCGAATTCCTTAATGAAATGTTAGACAAAATGATTGTAGTCACCTATTCTGGCCCTAATAGCTATGGATCTGTCATTAGGGAAGAACTGAGAAGCTCACTGTGATACTGTACTGCCTGGCTTTTATTTCTGTGTGCGCCTCTAGGCTAACCTGCCTAAGATGCATTTTATTACAAAGAGTACGCATACATGGCTAATTCTGTGAAATCTGCTTGTGTGGAGCTGCACTAGAAATCCTTTGGCTTAAGTCTTGCTTGTCTGATTTTGTGAACAAACTGAGTGATTTTTAATCTGGAGATGAGCCGGCATTTTCCTGATCACATCCCCGTGCCGGGTTGGGTTTGCTGCTTCAGGAAGTTTGGAGCTGCAGAGCCCACAGCGGGGCAGCTCGCAGAGTCAGCCAACACGGCTGTTGAGCTGGGGGCTCACAGGCTCAGTTATGCACCTGCAGCAGCATCGCCGGTGCTTCACAAACCTTCACAAACCTTTTCATCCTGTGAAACTCAGCTACAGGGGAGAAAAAAAAGCAGCATCCTAAACAAGGTATTGCACAACACTACAAAATATGTGTTCCACGGCACGGAAAGTGCAGCGGCTTGTTGTACTGCACAGCCAGCTTTGACTCCTGATAGCATGATGGAGCAAACGGACCCTCAATATTTCACTGCAAATGTGTAGCCAATAAACCAAAGCTTTTGTTCTGCTTCTGGAGAAGTGGACTTAGACTGCAGTGGCTAGCACGTCAAGATTAAGATTAACTTGCTTTTTTATTTGGTTTTGGAGCATGCCAGCTCATACTACCACTGGGTGAATAAAGAGAGGATTGTACTGACTCTATGTAGCTGTAGAATCGGTGCCAGTCGTGTTTCGTGTGAGCGGTGGTGGCCCCATCTGGCCCAAGGCCGGAGCAGGGCAGCCCGTTTTCCCCGGAGCTCAGCAGACAATGGGGTGGAACCTTGTTTGGGTGCGCTGGGTAACGGTGTCACAAACCCTACAGTTGGACTGGACTCCAGAAACAAGATCATCGTTTAGGATGAGCTCTGACAGCAGATCTTAATTTTTCAGATTTTTTTTTTTTCTAAAACTGAAAAGATTTTTTTAAATCTTGAAAGCTATAGATATATCACCCGAGAGTGTATTTCGTGAGCCATGAAGTCCCATCTTAATTTAATTCGTTAATTTTCTCAAAGACAAATTGTGATTTTTACAGGATTATTTCTTACAGTCGTCCTATAGGACTAAAGTGGGTGTTGCGACCTGTTTGATGGCAAAGAGGGTTTATAAATCAGGGCAGTAGCCAGGTGTGTTAAACATGGTGAGGGTAAGACAAGCTCTTTGTTCAATCAGTGTAGGAGAAGCATCTTCTCTCTGTGTTTGTTTCCCTCAGTGCAAAGGGTGAAGTCATGCGTTCTTTAGGTAAAACAGAAAGTGCCTGGGAGAGGCTTGGTCAGTGCAGCGCTTGGAGGAGATTTATTGCCTTTATAGTAGAGTTGTTCACAGGGCTGGGGGAGGAAATTTCCTATTTGGCTGGAAACGATACGGTGGTATCGCCCAGTGAGGTCTGAGGAGACTTCAGGGTGAATCCTCTCTGCTGTTTGCATAAAGGACCTTGGAGAGGAGATGCCCACTTGGCAGAGCACCGAGAGAAACACCTGCCCTGCTGCTGCCTGTAACCTGCAGGCTCCTGATTAAACACAGAGCAGCAGCCTCCAGGGTTGATGATCAGGGTCTGGAGCACCTCTCCTACGAGGACCGGCTGAGAGTTGTGTTTGTTCAGCCTGGAGAAAAGGCGGCTCTGGGGGGACCTTATTGCGGCCTTCCAGTTCCTGAAGGGGCCTACAGGAAAGCTGGGGAGGGACTTTTTACAAGGGGAGGTAGCGATAGAATGAAGGTGAATGGTTTTAAGCTGGAAGAGGGGAGATTTGGACTGGATGTTTGGAAGAAATTCTCTACTGTGAGGGTGGTGAGACAGAGAAGCTGTGGATGCCCCCTCCCTGGCAGTGTTTAAGGCCAGGTTTGAGCAACCTGGGCTGGTGGAGGTGTCCCTGCCCATGGCAGGGGTTGGACTGGATGAGCTTTAAGGTCCCTCCTAACCCAAACCATTCAGTGATGCTATGATCCGATGGTTATCAGCTGGCTCAGCTCTGACATCTTCTGCCGTCCGTCTGTATGGCTTTGCTGCTCTGCAGGACTACGGGAACCCTGTCACCGTGGTTGGTCATTAGGCCTTGGGGCCTTAGCCGCAGTTTCCCGCCGTCCTCCTCCTT